AAAGAACAAATTTTAGACTGCATTCGTATAATCTTTTCATGTAAATGTTATGATTATCCGTAAACAACGATGCAGGGTTTTATCATAATAAAATTATGAATAAAAACATGACTTCTTACAGCTAAAACAGCTATATGTACAACCACATTTCGTTGTCACCAATTTTAGTGTTTTCAGAGCATTTATACAATAACGCCAGTTCGACCTTGCTCGAAAATGGTACAAATTGTTTCTTTACCAAGTACACCTTCACAAAAAAAGCGGACAGAAAAACAAAAATAATTCACATACAGATATGAACTAACACCGTTATGAGGTTGTTTTTAGGATTAGAAAAAAAACAAGGGCCAAGCTGTGAAAAACCAGGCTACTAACCGTATGTGTCACCAGTACGGGACCGCCGCCGCCCTCCAGACATGGTGCCACGATACGTTTCTGCAGAGCGAAAACACGTCCTCGACCCTCCACAACACAAGTTGCTTGTCGATTTCTGTATTAGTCTGTAAATTGTTCTGCTGGTTTCCCCTCCCTTCGGTGTAACACACAAAGGCATGACGTAGGCTTGGCTTAGGGCATGAGAAGTCTTCCACTTTTACTAAAGAAGATCAGAAACATGAAAACGAATCATACCGGATAACGCTATCTTGGGATTTACAGTTCAGACAATTTGGTGAACTCTCAACCAGGCTTATTGTCCTTCCGCCTTCAGAGCGGTGCTTCGTTTTGACCCGGTTATACCTTTTATGCGTTCTGGGGGTGTTGTCACCATGCCTCGCGCGACGGGCTATTGTAATAATCTGAGAATTACGATATACGTTTCTACTAAGTTCCACTAACATACCAAATATAAAGACAATCCATATAAACCTATTGGTGCGATGGCCATAAATTCATAATCTGCCAAGTCGCACCACGTTCATATTGTATATGGGTTTGCCCATTTTGTCCAAATCGATTGAAGATAAAGTTGACTTTGTCATGAAACCCTCTTCATATGATGTTTTACGTAACAAGATATCACATTCAAATCAAATCAAGTACTGTAGATTTCAAAGGACTCGATGCAACAGCCAGATCTAAATATATATTTAAATGCAACAACTTCCACAATGCAAAAATAAATTTTGTTATTAGTAAAAACACCGAAACTCATGTTTAGCCCCAGTCGATTGTATGTAGGCATTGCTTTAGTTTTCAAAGTGTAAATATTTCTTTTAAGTTTTTGCACAATTTCAACAGTTGTTGTCATACATTGTAACATGTGCTCGCACTGGTGCAGGTTAGGTGCAGGTAGACATCAGAATAATCTGCACAGCTCCACTTTTACCTGCACTAACCTGCATATACCTAGTACATGGACCAGTGCAGTTTAGGTGCAGGTAGACATCAGAAATACCTGCACAGCTCCACTTTTACCTGCACTAACCTTTCTTTTTCGACTTCATATGATCTTTGTAATAAATCTAATTTACGGCTACCGCTTTGTCTTACAACTAGGTATAAAAAGTCTTTCATTCCATATGCTACGCATCACTGGAATGGTCTTGATGTAGCTGTTCGATCTCTGAATCTTTCATTGTATAAGAAGTACTTAGTAAAGTCAGTACGTTCCCCTTTTTACCGACATTTTAGCATCGGCCCCAGGTACACCTGCGCATTACTCACGCGTCTCCGCATCGGGACCTGTAGTCTTAACCACAGCTTATTCTTAAGAAATTTACCCCCTAGTGCTGCTTGTATCTGCGGGTCTCGTTGTGAGAGTGTCATACATTTTCTTTTACACTGCCCTTTGTATAATCAACAAAGAGTCACCCTACTCAGCAATCTCCAGAATGTGGTAGGCTTTGATTTTGATGTTTTCAATATGTCTGAACAATTGTTATGTGATATTTTACTTACAGGATTACCTGATTTATACTATGATACAAACTGTAATATCTTGCTAACCACTCAAACTTATATTGTTGACACCAAACGGTTTGTACTCGATTGATTTATTATATAGCCTACTAAACATTTCTTTGTACTATTTAACGACCCATCCCACCCATTTGCTGTTCTCTGTTTTTTGTTATGTACTGTAATTGTATTCTATGTTTGGTGGTGAGGCTAAAATTACCTCACCACCTTGTCTTGTATTGTCCTTGTTGAATTTGCAAAATAAAAAAAAAAAAAAAACAAAAA